ATACAAAGGCAAAGAGAAATTATGATAACATTAACAGTCAATGATTATAAGCAAATGTTACCAGTTTAAGTGAAATAGTGCATAAAGTGGTGGTTTTCTTATTATTTTTTATCTATTTTGCATTCACAATGCTATACTGGAAAGTATTCTTTTTGAAAAATACTTAAGAAATCCTACAGCCCCAGGTATCTCAGAAAAGTCCCATCTTAGAGTACTTAAGGCTAATGAATTTTTTAAGCATTATTCATAATGATTGAATTGATTGATACTATGATTACAGTAAAAATCTTTGAAAATTATTATAATGCACATAAATTTAGTTTACTTATGACTTAACTGTTAATATGGACATAATTCTTTACAAAAAAAATATATATACTAAACTGTTTAGTATGATACCTTATTTTTTTTTATTCACAGGTTTCCAGACCTACTTTAGCACAAGTGAAGACAGTGGTAGAATTTATGCAGAAGCATCCTGATTTAGCACATAGAAAGCTTAGATATGGTGTCGGCCATCAGAAATTTAAAAAGCTTTGGATAGAATTGTCTAATATTGCAAATAAAATGGATGGGGCTGTAAAGTCTACACAAGGATGGATAAAAGTAATTTTCTTGATCATTTTTATATTCTTATTTTATCTAGTATGAATTGATGAAGAATGTATTGTGGATATTGTTTTCAGTTTTGGTCAGACAAGAGAAGAAGTATTTTAATCAAACAAAAACAAATTGAAGAAGGAAAATATCAAGGAAAATTGGCTCCTATTGAACAAAAAATATTAAATTTGAGTGATAGTAAATATACTTCTAGTGAGTATTCAGCTGGTGATAAAAATTTTTACTCCTCAGGACATAAAAGTTATTGGGCAGTTGTCTGATTCTACAGTTGTTAATAAAAAGTATCTAAATAATAGTTTCAGTAGCTCGGTGGCACAGTGAATAAATCGCCGCAACCAGTGATCGTTGTTGTTAAACAACTTTCACAAAGGTCAGTCACGGGATGGGTGTTCAGAAATTATTGTCTTGAGAGCTACTCCGTGTTTCGTGAGAGCATGTTAAGCCGTTGGTTTACTTTTTAATATTATTAGGATTTTGGCAGATGGCTGACCTCAATTTTGGGGCCACCTGGACTGAAAACCGTGGCGGACTGCCTTCTGCGCCCCCACCCCCTTTATTTTGTCATGGCATGGGATATCCTCCTTATCCATCCATAAGAAAGGCCTGAGCCCCTGAAGTGGGGAGATAAACGGACTGATGATTATGAAATATTAATAAATATAAATGATTTTGCCAAGGTTGGGTAAATCTATATGACCTCATGCAATATGAGGAATTCTTGCATTGCTGTAACACAGTTGATGCTGAATTTTTTTCTATTTGTAGTATGTGACCATTTAAAATGTATGCAATGCATTTTTTTTTATTATTGTACCCAAACTTAAAATTCAATGAGCTGCATCTACATATCATTGTGTTGTGTTAGCTGTAGATACAGGTGATAGTGTAAACATTATTTCCACTGACCATTAAATATTCTAACATAATATTATGCTTTATCCTAGGAAAAAGAAAGAGTGTGAAACAAGAACCCTGCAATAGCGATGGCGATAATGATGATGTACCCCTTGATGACTTCCATTCAAAGGATGGTGACAATGATTTAGAAAACTCTTTTCCTAATGAATCTGTTGAAAAGCAATTGAATATAATGGAGAAAGTGGTTTGTATTTATCTGATTATTTATTCTTATAAGGTGTTGACATTCATGTTACAGTATTATGACATTGAATGCCCCCTAGCATTCAAGTATTACGTTACGCAATTTGGTGGAGAGGATCTTGTAAAACGTTATGATATGTTATCGAAATGGGAGGGGGTCGTACAGCATGTTACACAACATCAGTTTTTTCATTGAATACAAAAATATGGAATTAAAATCTCTCAAAGTTGACATAGAACATTGTTATAGTCGTTATTATGAAAGTGAATTCGTGCCGTAATGTCCTCAAAAGAGGGTGATTTGCATCGGCTGTTCCTGGCCTATTAAAACTGTCATGCTGATTTGCCAGCGCAACTGTGCCAAAAACGCAAGCCAACTTTTCACTGCTAGCATTTTTGTTGAGTGCTACGTAACGTTTATGGAGGGCGAGAGTGTCAGAAAAACGTTGCGGTGCCTTAGAGGGGTGGGGGAGGAAGGGTTAAAAATCTCGTTACATAATACTTGAACAGCCCCCTATTTTTGTGATCGTCCACCATACCTCGGCGAGACCAGCGTGAGAAGCATAAATACGAGCGTGTCACTTTGTACTCACGTCTCGTTAATTACGGTTGCATATATAGAGAAATGTACGATTGCGAATTCACGGTAGCTTTAACCGTATGCGCTGTCAGTTATTAACACACTTTTATAATTATTATATTGCTTGAACTAATTCTAAAAAAAAAACCAATATTATATACTCTTTGTTACGTGGTCGTCATTGTACGAAATCCTTTCTGTTCATCGACCGTGCTGTAGTGATGCATTCGTCTAGTGCCGCGGCGAGGTGAATCAACGTGACGTAGCAAATGTAACATGTATACTGTCTTATTCGTTGTCTCGTTTACGTTCACGAGAGTCGCTATAAAAAATATAGAATTGCCCAAAAGAAAGGGATTTAACAGCATCGTCACAATTCGGAAATCGCTGCAACTCGACGGCAGTATTGCGCCTGTTTTGCGTGTCAATCAATACATAACATATTATATTTATCAATGTTCAGTTGATTTTTACGCACCGCCTGATATATTACCTGTATACATCTCTCCGGTTGACTGGTAGAGAATGCCTAAAGGCATTTAGTCCGTCATACGTACTGCGTGTAAAAAACTTTAAATGTGTAAATAACAGATATAAGTTTTGTGAAATTGTAATTTTTTATTGTTATATGTCTCAGGTGGATGCTATGGGGCAACAAGCATCGGCAATGGCTCAAGTAGCACAGGCACATCTTGATCACTCTAAATCCTTGGAGCGATTTGCAGAAGCTACTCACCTACAGGTATAACAATAATTATACTGTTGTGCTATATTTTCTTTATTTGACCACATATGGATTCGAATTTGATTTAAATGTAGAAAAGGAACATCCTGTTTTCTTGTTTGTATTGAAAATATATTTGATATTGTGTATGAAAGACATTTCATTTTCTTTTTTATCAGGCGGTAGCTGTGGATCGTATAGCCAGTACATTCGAAAGCATAAGTTCTTCAATCAATGACGTTCGAAATGCCCTTTTGGGCATTGATTACTCAATGAAGAGATGTTATCCCTCATTAGCACCACAGTTACGACAGAATTCCAATATATTTAGTTAGTTATTATGTCTAGCATTTAGGGGCCGTCCATTAATTACGTGATTTTTTTTCAACATTGTTTGTCCCCCCCTCCCCCCCTTGGTGATGGACATGGCGAGGTTTAAGACTACCCCCTCCCTCCTTCATCCAAATCATGTGTATAAAAAAAACAAAAAAATCTTAATTTTTGACGTCGCTTTTCGGTTTAATAATCGCGCGTCGAGGAAAAAATAAATACACGTGATATATTACTACACCCCCCAACCCCCTTGTAATATTTCGTGATTTTGACGAACTCCTCCCCCGCCTTCGAGCCTCACGTGATTAATGGACGGCCCCTTAGTTTAATTTTTTTTATTATTATATTAATTTTATTGTAATATTATATAAAACGAAAACTAGCCACTAGTTATGTAATAATGCTCTCACAAACCATAAAATAATATTTAAAAACAACATTTTTGGAGTTTTATTATAGCGGGCAGCTTAATTAATCCTCTAATGACAAAAAAATGGAATATATTATTTATTATGCCTATAGAGTTGAAATTTGTCTCACATGGAATGGGAATATGCTGAGTAACTATTCTCAAGAATTCCCACCCATAAATAAATTTATGGGATGTTTAGACTTGCAGGCAACATATAGAAAAAGACTTAATAAAACTAAAATTATTTTTGTAAAATAACATTTCGTGATGTAATACTTATGTTTAAGTTACTATATAGCAACACATTTTTAATAGTATACCGCAAGATGTCAAATTTCTGCAATTGATTTTGAACTAAATTTTAAAATCAAGCGGAAAAATTTCACTATATTATTGGTACTTTTGTTTAACTAATGATGCTTGTGGAATAAAGATTTATCATTCATTAATCTTTTCGCATTGGTTTATATGCACTTAAGACATTTTATATTATTTCTCGTATCACTAATATGTATGTATACTTTATGATATTAAATGAAATTTAATTTTAAACAGGTATTTTGTAAAAAATAAAGACTGGTAATTCATTGTATTCATATGAATTAAACTAGCTATTTGTTCGAATTTTGAGTTTTTAAGAATATGAAAATGGTATATAATAGGTGCCCAACATATTATGGTTTTATTACTTATCTATAAAAGCTATTTAAATAGATCTGTTATTGATTTAACAGCACTGTCTTACGAATAAAAATAAAAATAATGCTCATTCAGTAAACAAATTTTAAGGTTAATATCCACATCGCAAGACTGTTCTTACAGCAGTAACAACAGTTTAGTAAGATACGCGTTTAGAATCAACCGATTATATAGCCGATGATTCCGAGCTCTTGCCTAATTCTAATAAGGCTCAGACTCACGAACGAAAAGTTTTCATAGTTTTATATGCGCAAGTCTTATCAACTATTTGACAAACATACCTATTTAATTATTATATTTGATAAATTTTGCATTCATAATGCTATACTAGTAAATATTCTTCATGAAAAATGTTTAAAAAATCCCATCTTAGAGTACCAGAGACAAAGTAGTTTTTTAAGCATTTTCCATTAAGAATAAAGATATTTAATTTCCGTTAAATCGGATTTAGGATTCGTCAGATAGTTTTGTCGAAAGTGCATATACATACTTTTCCTAGAACATAGTTACGCATTAGAAGTGGGATATCTTATCAGTGTTGATTGATAACGCTTGTTTTATCGTTACACGTATCATTGTCCACCGTTCCAGTTTTATACCTGTTTTTAGTGCATCCACTCATTAGAACATTACAGATCTCGACAATGCGAATAAACAATTCAAGTGGAACAATCGTGTCGAATCGTAAAAAATGGCGATAAATTGTTACGCCGTTTCAATAGTAGTGTTTTGTTTAAGTTATGTTGTTGGTAGTGATTTCTGTCCGAAAGTGTGTGACTGTGATATGGACAGTGGGTTGAACAGAGCGACGTGTATTGATCAAAACCTAATTGGAGTGGACGTGGGAGTGCCAAAAGGAGTGCAGAAGTACATTCTTACACATAACTTGATCAGTGAATTGGATAACTTTTGCTTCAAGGTGAAGTATCTATATAATAATATACTGTGTTAATCAGAGATAAGTGCAGTGTTGCGCTTGATAAAATACATTTTTTACTGCTTGTCGCACATAATCGGTAATTTTATAATTTCAGGATGCCGGCTATTTGTCTTTGGAGATTTTGAATTTGTCTTACAATAAGATATTTTGGATTGGTTTGCACGCATTTTCGGGCCTGGAAAGTTTGGTTCATATTGACTTGAGCTATAATAGACTAAGATATATACCCTCGGACCTTTTTTGGGACACACCGAAACTTACCAATTTGGATTTATCATCGAATATTTTCGAGAAACTTAAGAATGAACCGTTTTTAATGCATTCGAATCTACGGGTATGTTAGTTTTATATTTTTACTTTTTATCCTTATGAATCTTCCCAAATACGTCTTGGGGTCTGTGCATATTTGACGGAAGATGCGTCGCGTTTTGTCGGTCGCTGAACGTCGGAATTGACAAAGTTATTCTATCATCATCACCAGCCTATTAACGAGCTGTCAAACGCGATCACTAGGTAACTAACGCATAGCTAATTTGGGAGTCGCACTCGATAGGTGCTTAATAAATAACAATATACTGATCGTAGAGATTTGCTTTATTTGTTAACTTACACGTAGACTGCACCCCCGGGTCTTCCTTATTGATGAAATAGAATAGGGAGAATGGACTTCAAATGTGGTATGAGATGATTCAACCTTATACACTAACGCATGACTATTTTTGTGTGACGCTTGACGGTCATCTATCAGATTTGCACCGACCCTAAATATTTTCTAAATTTCCTATATAACTAATATATTTTGTTTGATCAATTTTGCATTAATTAATAAGTGGTTAGAGCATTCGTCCGGATTGTGAAAGATCGTGGGTCTGAATCCCATCTCAGAGTACCAGGGACAAAGTGGATTTTTTAAGCATTTTTCATTAAGAACGTTAAGAATATTTCTTATATAATAATAATATCTTGTATTTTCATCTTTTTAGGTATTGAATCTAAATAATTGTCACATAATGGCTTTGTCGGACAGACTGTTCACGAGATTACCAAATTTAAGAAAGTTGGACCTGAGCGACAACTATGTCGTAACTTTTGGTACACAAGTGCTCGCACCGTTGCGAAAATTGCAAAAAATAGAGCTTAAAAGCGACTATCTGAAGTGCACCGCAGGCTTCATGAATGTCGAGACTTTTATCATTGATCATGATATAATTTATAAAAAACAGTGCAGTAAATTAGCACCCAAGATGTCGGAAAAAATTATATCGCTTGTTACTGTCGAAAAAGAAGAGGTGAACGTCAACGACGTTTGGAATATCACGAGGCCTGAAACAGAGCCCGGTCATGTGGAAACTACGACGCCTCTGACCCCATTCGAGAAGTTCGACAAGAAATTTTCGGCTTTCCAGGCGTTTATTTTAGGTTTGGAATTGGGACTAGCGATCGGTGTAGTTGGTACTTATATATGGTTGCGTCAGTTTTGTAAGTGCGGTCAGCTGACATGCTTTAGGTCGAGAAGAGAAACCAGGAGAATCCAAAGACGCCGCGATGGGGATATGAGGACTAGTTTGCTTTGGAATAATATAATAAGTCCGGATTTAGAGACTCCGCCCACTTTTCGGAGACAGCTCTCTTTACCTGATCGCGGTCCACCGTATCCTACGTACGGGGTACCTGTTGTAAGACAAGCGGCACCTTTACAAGTGGATGCCATACGTTTGCCCAACAGAGCTGAAACTCCCCCACCGCCTTATCACGAGTGCCGCATCAATATGTGACAACGTTATCAAAATAGTGCAGACAGGCCTCACTAGGATTTGTTTATCAGAAATATTTAGTACAAAAATATTGTTTGACTGTTATCGGCTAAACGATAGCTTGTATATAGTGATAGTGCGTGTTTTCATTCCGTGAGACCAGAAGTTGATGCGATGTGCGAGAATCGGACACTTGACGTAAGTGACCTTTCACACTAAAAATATATGCAGTCAGTAGCATGTCACATAATACAAAAAAAAAGACAATATTCTTTACTATCGTTTTGAGTATTAATGAAATTATGATAAAGTTCAAAATTAATTGGTTGTAGTGATGTTATCCTATTTTTCAACACTTTTTCAATTCTCATTCATTACAATGAATGCTTGTCCCGGCTTTGTGAAGTTTTTTGTTTAATAATGAAGGCCTCTATATTGTATATTGATTAGTTATTAATAATTATAAGGTAAATAATAAGGATAGGTATTATATAAATTAAACAATGAAATGTAAAATATAGTTATATTTATAAATACCTTTATCACATTTGATATTTCATAATTATCTGTCATAATATAATATTACATTAAAAAAATAATAATAATGCTAAAATTCAGACTCATACAGAATTTAATATAAATTCTTTAAAAATAAACAATTTGGGTAACTATATAAATTTTTTTGTACATTTCATAACACAACCACAATGGCAAATGATTTACGTTTTTACTATGGCATGATAATGGCGTCTTTATAATCAACCGAAAAACCAATGCATTCATACTATTCTAATTTATAATAACCAGTTGTGAATCTGTAAATATAAAGTGAATAAAAAATATATTATTGGAATGTTCAAGTAAATATAAACCTATTTCAAATATAACATTGTATACAATAATCATACATTTTGGTTGTAAAAAGGAACACAAGGTTGGAAATGCGTAGTAAGAGAGAGAAGAAAAAAATATGTTTAACTAACATTTAAATATTTAAGATTTATATAAAAAATGCTATTTACAATAAGCTCTTGTTACATTACTTGTTATTTGAACCTTGATCACGTTAAATACATTTTATATTTACAGAGATAAATAATACTAAACAATACGTAATCAGGCACATCATGGTATGTCTGCATTCATCTATAATCTTATAAAATGAAACTAAATGTCTTAGCTGCCTATCTTATTATAATTATTCGAGTTAAGAAATAACAGCAAGTATAAAAGTTTAACTTTACTAACCTATCAATTTGATCACTACTCCTTCAGTCAACACAAACCTAGCAAGTCTGCACTTTATAAATGCTATTTAAATATCAAACTTATCATATGATAATAGAAACGAAAATTACGTTGAGTGATAAAACATTCGATTGAAATGTCTGAAGGAGTAAAAATAGTTGTGGTTTATGATTATGAGCTTAGTTCATCATTTTCGAGGGCTAGTTGACTGATATTCACGTAGTCTGGATGACGCGAGAACACATCCACGAGGTTGCTAAAAGTTGGTCTAGCGTCAGGATTGTAAGCCCAACAGTCCAACATCACCTGGTAGATTTCATCGGGACAGTTTTCTGGTCTCTCGAGTCTTTGTCCATTCTCCACTATTTGTATTGCCTGTAAACATAATAATTAGATAATATGCTAAATATCTAAAATGAATAAATATGTAGGAGAGATAGTTTTATCAATGGATTAAAATGTAAGTATATATCAGGCTGGCAACGTCCACTATCCTTGATTTGAAATTAATTATTGCTCCATCTAGTCCCTTATTTATGTCCGTTAATCCGTTACGAAATAGGGACAAATAACCAAGTTAGGTAGGTAGTTTCGAAAAAAAAGAAACGAGTCTGCGGCATTGTTGGGCTGACTGGCTATATGCACATTTATTTGAAAATATTTTCATATGATAATTTACATCGTTATATAACTGTAAAAATGCCCAGAATGGAAAAACTAAAATTTAGTAACAATGATAATTGATGAAAATAAGTAACAACTATGAGCAAGTTTAAACGCCGGAATTTTGATACGCTAGTCGTGACGTCAAAGTACACGACCAGAGATATGACATTTTAAGCTAATATGGATTTTGAGTGATCGATTATTATTAAATTACCCAAATCGATTAACAAATAATCGATTTTTAAAAGTATAATAGACTTTTTTAATAAGCCTATAACACCATTTAAATTTTTATCTGTTGTTTATTTTGTTTTATTATATTTTACTGCATCGATGTTAACTTTTCTTTACAACGACATCCCTATACGTGTACATATTCGTCACATCCGTTCTAACAAGTAGCATTTGAATATTTTGAAGTTACCGCATTTGTTTACACTTTGAATAATTATTTTCAAGAAGAAAACGAACTAATGTTAAAAAATATTGACATAGACTTTATTCTAAGGCAATAATGATTGTTCTAAAATATATTTAACCCTTTTTGAATCAGACACATATTCCCTATTCTGTGATCTATACATATACAGTACCAAATAAATTATAAATTCGCTTCTCGCTGTATGTACGCCGATATCATTTAAACTATGCAACAGATTTTAACGCGGTTTTCATCAAAATACAGAGTGATTCAACAGGAAGGTTTATATCTATACTAATATTATAAAGAGGAAAACTTTGTTTGTATGTTTGTTTGTTTAATTGTAATGAATAGGCTCAAAAACATTGGACCGATTTCAAAAATTCTTTCACCATTCGAAAGCTACATTATCCTCGAGTGCCATAGGCTGTATTTTATTTTGGAAAAAATAGGGTTCCGTGAGATATTTTGGACTACATTTAAACGCGTTTATTTTACTCATGCTATTAATCCTTATCAAAATAAATTATTTCGTCGCTAAGTACAGTTTAAGTATTAATTTTTAATTTACTTTCTTGTATTTTGGCTGTGTGTAAATAAATAAATATTATTATTATTAAAATATTATTATTATAATATTTGGTCTTTGAATGATTAAAATTGGACGTACGGTTTTGAAGTTATGGCGAAATTAAAATATTTGTGCTGCACGGACCGTTGTATAAAACAAAGTCGCTTTCTCTGTCCATATATTCCTATGTATGCTTAAATCTATAAAACTACGCAACGGATTTTGATGCGATTTTGATTTCATAGATAGGGTGATTCAAAAGGAAGGTTTTTATTTATAATACAAGAGCACGCGGGCGAAGCCGCTGGCGGAAAGCTAGTCTATTATACAGAACGATGGGGACGAAACCGCTGGCGGCAAGCTAGTAATGAAGTAAACATATTGTTCACGATATCTACCAGCGAGCAAAAAGGTCAACGTACGTAATTCTTTCTGTTTGGCGACCGGACTATAGTAATGGTTGAGTTACCTCGATCCCTCTGACGTCACCGTACGGCTGCTTCCCATATGAGAACATTTCCCACAGCGTGACGCCATAACTCCATACGTCGCTGGCGTGGCTGAATGTACCGTAGTTGTAAGACTCGGGCGCGTACCACTTAATCGGCCACTTGCCGCCGTGACTCGCCTTGTAGTAACAACTGTCCGCGGATAGCGCGCGCGATAGACCGAAGTCGCTTATTTTCACTTGTTGTCTGTAATGATATATCGACATTTATTGATGTTTTTTTGTAGTCTGATGGTATGTTCTAGTCTTTTAAGCAGAGTCCGCTGATAAATATCTACAGATAATAACACCGGAAAATAATAAGAACCGCCAATTTATAAATATCCTAGGAAATTTATAATATAAATTATAGTTTAGTTAATCTGATTGTACCTTAGCATTGCCACTGTCAACATGGATTAATCAGAGAACAGTGTATTATATGCCGTATTTCAAAGCGTCGAAAATTAAAAGCTCTTCTGTAATTGGTCGAACCGTTTCGAAATCTTAGTTAGTTTATAAATGTATTATGAGACATTGATAAATTTGCGGATCTTGTTATTTTCCGGTGACAGATATATATCGATTGATATATACGTTGATATATTAATTGATGATTTTAATATTTATTTTTAGTTTGAGTGTAGAGGCTCAGCTTCGCCTGATGTAAGTAATATGAATGTGAGGTGCGAACGGTAAATTTTTTATTAAAATTTAATGCTTATGTTCACGTAATAAGTTTTATTATTACATTACCAGATATCCTCGCACGCATACAAATTTTTAATGATATTATAATAAATAACCAAATTGATTTAAAATATTAAATAAAGCCACTAGCAGCTTAAAAATCGCAGTTTTCATATGCATAATATATGTCGGATAAATTTCAAATATCGGATTTTTCATAGGGTTCAATATTTGTATGTGTATATATTTGTACATAAGGAATATTCTTTCTTTAATCTTAAGTCTATATACTGCGTGTTTGATTACCTGCTAGCAACCAGTATATTTCTAGCGGCGAGATCTCTGTGTACGAATCGTCGTCGCTCTAGATATCTCATGCCGGCAGCTATTTGACACGCCCACAGCCTTAACTCGTATCCTGGTGACGCTTTCTCAGGATGCCTGATGAGGTATTCTAAAAGGGAGCCCAATGGCACTAATTCTTGGACCATTGCAAGTGGAGGACCCTGAAAATAAGGTGTTTGATTATTAAATGTCAAATTCATTCATTCGTGTTCGTGAGTTCATTCGAGATTCGAGAAAAATTGATCACAAATTTACCAATAGTTAAACACTTATTGAAGTTTTTTTATTGTAAATTTTATTCAATATTAATCGAGATATCGAAATCGTAATTAAAACATTGATGTAAGTACTATCTTGTTGTGCATAAAATGTAAGAAACTAATAGCAACGCGTTTGTTTACAAAACCAACTGACGTCACAACTACAGACAAACATGGCGTACAGCGTGGCGTATTTCGTCTAATTTGACGATGTAATTTTATGACACTTATCTTATAATTTTTTTTATATATATTTAGATACTTTTCAAAATAGGTATAATACTGTAGCGTCCGTGCACATTACTATAGGTAGGTTTATTCTTAGGACGGTTTATGGCCAATGCTGGCCGTTGATATTTTAAATAATTACTTTTTCGTATTCGAATTCACGTGTTCGTGTTTTGCTGGTTGACAATCTTCCCTTTCTGATCGAGACCGGCATAGAGTGAGTAACATAATATTTCGTTATAAGTGATTCGATGTTCACCCATCTCCACCATCAGAATCAAGTTATCAGAATATTCTATAGACCTGCCGGACAGGGTATAAGGCTGAAAGTGTTGTAGTCTCACCAGTGACACGCCGATGAGTCTCACGATGCAGGTGTGCCGGAGCGACATCATGAGCTTGGCCTCAGCGAGGAACTCCCGCCGGTTGGTGTCGGTGTGCTGCACGTGCAGCGTCTTCACCGCCACCGGCACCGGCGGCGCGGCGGACGCGTCCGCACCCGGCGAGTGCGTCGCGCGGACTACCGACCCGAACTCGCCCTCGCCCAACACCGCGCCCAGGGTCAACGAACTCATCGGTATGAACTCTGCAACATATCATCTTTATCTATTGACATGAAGACCATATACTTGGCCACAGGGACATCATCGCCATCTTTCATTCATTTCACTTTCATTTTACATGTAGAAATTTATTTATTCACTTGACATTGGCAGAATTGTGCGAAATGCGCAGATAGGCTATTAAAAAGAAGAAGAATCTATTGACATATTACTCTTTGCCCTGATAGCTACTCGCTTTTGGAATGCTCTTTTAGCTCATATTAAAACTGCTTAGAGTAGAACGGTTTTCAAGAGATTGGTGCTTAAACTCTATCTCATGTGCGTTCTGTATTTTTTATGTATTTATTTAATTATTTGATCAATTTTACATTCACATTGCTATACTGAAAAATAATCTTAATAAAAAATGTTTAAAAAATACATTTTGTCTTTGACAAAGTATAATACATTTTGTCTTTCAAACTTTGAGCCACGTGACTGTAAACGACACTATAAAAACAATGACGTCATTGTTTAAGATGACAGAACAAAATGACAACATTGAGAAAAGACACGTGGGTTCGTTTTGAAAAAAAAAATCAAATTAATGATGTCAGAATTGAATCTCAATAAAATTACCATTAAAAAATCTATTTTTGATAAATCGTGAGATATAATACTGTTAAAGATAAATTAACGCAAATACAAATAATAAAATATTACTTCAAATATATCAAACAAAACCATTTGTATCTAGAAATACAAAACATAAAATTTACTTCAATTTCTCTTCTGTAATACCTATTGTTTACTTCGTCAATATATGTTGATAAATGGTTTATGTTGCCTTGACATATTTACAGGTGTGAGACGTCATAAATACCTCGTGATCAGCGTTATTATATAAGGCAAAAATTTTTGCGTGATTTTGGCTATTTAAATTTATCAATTATTTTCGTCGAAAATAGAATAGTTTCATAAAATATATTTAAGCTGTTTATAACATAACAAACAAGCATTTTATCAAAATAGTTTTCAGAAAGTATCAAATAACCTCCTGAAGGATTTTTTCAGTCACCTAATTTGCTGTCATATAGTTGTCAGTTTGAACAATTGCGTCACAGATGAAGTTGCCGCGTTTTTGCGCCAATTTTAAATGTTATTGGTAAACCACGTTTTATTCGGATTTAAAAAGGAATACTGATTTTTATGGGTATATTTTAACCTTATAATTAATTTAAATGAAGTTTAAAAACATCTTTAACTCCCAGATTACACGAACAAATCATATTAAAAACATCATATTAAACTGTCGCTAAATCGATCGTGTAATGGTCACTACTGTTTCTTAAAAACGCAATTTATAATCTCACCTTGCAAAGTAGACAGTTGACCGTCAGAGTTGATTGAAATTTCATTGTAATTCTCCGCCAACGAGGCCACCGCGCCAGTGTTGGCCGGCACTTTGTACGTTTCGTTGTCATCTTGCGTGGACTCATCATTGTTGTTAAAACTGTCGTTGTTGAAGTCTGACGAGAAGGAGAGGTTCCGCGTGAGGAGGTCAAAGGCGTTGTTGTTGGAGGGCACGGTGGGCGGGGAGTTCGGGTTCGATATCTGATCGTCGTTAAGTATATCGTGTTTGACTAGGGATAACGTTTGGTTCATGGCGGCGCGACTCGGTGATGGTTTCTTGGTGCGTGGCATTGTGGAGAACTGGAACATAAATATGAGCGTTTTAAACTTCCGCGTTGCTTTATATTTGATTGTATAATAAGGGTATTAACGCGATAGATTTTTATAGTTAGGTTTTTTCACCCACGAAATATATTCCCGAGGTTTCAACCAGGTTACACCGGTCGTGGTCGAAACATCGGGAAATATAGGTAGGTGAAAAACCTCCCCACTCATCCCCCACTGCAGGGGCTCAGGCCTTCCTTATGAATGGTTACGGATGATAAGCCATGACCCTCCACGCTGGCCCAATTGGAGGGTATTAACGCCTGCAAATGCAGCAGAGACAAACGACTTAACGTGCCTTATGAAGCACGGAGTAGATCGAGATAGTAATATTTTGGTCACCTATCCCGTGACCGACCCTTGCGAAGGTGCTTAACAACAACGATCGCGGGCCGCTTATCCACCACAACACATAGTTACTCATTAAGTGCTAAATAATATAGCGCATGGTGAATGTTCGTTTGCACAAAGCAGACCTATCATCGCCGAAGAGAGCCGAACATACTTGTTTCAATAATCATAAGGTGTAAAATACAACTCATTAGGTGTCTGTCTCACTCACACTCGAGCGGGATCAAGGACATGAATATAGGTGGATCATCTGAAGGTGGGATAATTGAATTATACTGATTGGTCGACATTTTGATATTCACATTAATTGTGTCCCACTATAATTAGTTGAACAAACCGTTACTATACTTACTTCTGGTAACGGTGGTTTGGGTTTGGGCGGCACGGCTGTAGTCAGTCTTGTCGGCAGCCCGTCGGGAACAGTGCTGTAGTGTTCTATCAATCTCTCTAATGATTCTAGATACGGACCATCGTCTATGAATAGCCAATTATTCTGAAAAACAAGAGTTAAGTTTAAAATAAAGAACAACTAAAAAAATATATTTGTGGGCCCAAAACACTGACACACCTATTCAGTTTCATAGTAAAGGGGCCGTCAATTAATCACAAGATCTTTTTTTTGATCCCCCCTCCCCCTTGATGATACCTGGTGAGGTTTAAGACTACCCCCTCCCTCCTTCAAACAAATCACCTGTATTTAAAAAAAGAACAAAAAATCTTAATTAAGAGGAAAAAATTACCCCCCTTTGATTTTTCGTGATTTTTGACGAATCCCTCCCCCCCATTTCGAGCCTCACGTGATTAATGGACGGCCCCAAACATGAATAACTGAACAAGTGGTAGGGGAAAAAATTTGAACAATTCAAAAGTGCTTGTAACAAGGTTATTTGGAAGTATTTTTCATTTTCATAAAAGTTACTTAGAAAACAAAGTTACATTGTGATTTATCCAGGCACATGTAAAATACACTGCATTTTCTGGTAACACATAATATAATTTAGGTAAGGCCTGATTGTGTCTAATATAATGGTAAGCATTTGTAAAATATATTTTAATCTCTTGCCTTAAATAGTTATAGATAAACATTCCTATGAAGCACAAACCTCTTTTCTAATAATGAAGTTGTAGGGCGTATTCTCACTGAGCATTGTGAGTACGTAAGCGCCCGTGTGCCGCTCACTGTACCTCACCAGGAACACCCCGTCAGCGGGCCGGTCGCGGAGGCCGCGTTGTCGACAGTACTCCTCCAAAGTGCGTACCGCCTCATCCCGGTTCAAGGTGCCGTGATACCATAGGCTTTTGGAAGTCTGCGGCGGTTTCGGCGTGTAGTTTTCTAAGAGTGAGTTTTCACATGTTAAATTAGTGAATATATGAAAATAAGTGTTTAAGTGAAACTCGATGTAAATTTGTATTTCAAATGACAGATCGATCAGCAAATGAATTTTAAATTAAGTCTCCTATGGTATTATTATTACAATTTAGTATAAAATTTTATATTATTTGAAAAAATATACTCAAAATAAGATTGGAATAAATTGCATCCACTCTATCACGAGACTAAAGTTGAAATAAATTATTTATGACAACAAGAAGAGACAAGTGCATTTGTGAGTGACAAGATACATAGTTATGAAACCAAATATTCATGCACATACAGTTTCATACAGAATTATAAACACCTGTGTGTTTATAATTCTGAAAGTAAAGTAGTGTACTTAAATACACACAAACTCCGTGGAAATACAAATCGCGGGTTTCAAGCCATAGGGGGCTTATTTTTCAGGAGACATGAAAATAATACGCAACTGTCAAATGTCGAAACGGGTTTCACTTATACCTTTAAGTAATGTGCCGATTATAAAAAAAAAACTGTTTTGTTAATTGATAAAATTAGAAAATATTGGCGTTATTTTCTTTTTTGTGTGTATGCCCCTTTAGATTAAATGAAACCCGAGAAATGATAATATCACACTTTTCAAAAGACTTACTCAATAATTGATAGCATTCCGTGTGTCCATAGTGCTTTGCTAAGTCTGCAGGTGTATCTTTTGCTAATGTTCTAGGATGTGACGGTGCTTTGAGTTTAAGAAGAACCTTAAAACGAAATGATCTGTTTAATATCGAAAGAAATTGTCATTAAAAAAATGTTAGAGCTTTAATTTATTTCTCTGGCGACCATTTATGGCAGTGATAATGATAATATTTGGATAATATCTCATTGTGATGGTAATATTACCTCGATGCATTCGATATGGCCGCGTTGCGCAGCGTCATGCAATGGTACTTTTCCTGTGGGCGCATGTCTCATCTGATAGTTAGCATTTCCTTTTGTTATCAATAGTTCTGTTGTACTGGGTAAGTTATTCTGACATGTATACTGCAAAATTAAAAAAAGAATTGTATTAAAAAAAAAACAAATTATTATCAACACATTCTAGTTTTTAAATTTTCTTTTTTTCTGTCTAAAATAACTTTAAATTTAGTATTTAAACCTCCTTCTTGGTTATACAGGTTTTCTCAAAGTGAGGTACGCAACAAGTATTCATTAAGTAACGCCGATACATTGAGATAAAATGTTAAATGACGTCACGATTTTGTACATTTCTACAAAATTGTGACTTAGTGAGCCTCCACTTCTCAATTGAAATAAAAAATTAACATATTTAATATTTTTCTATTATCTGACTGAAGGACTGAATAGAATTTCTTATTTTTTACTCAGGCATCATCCCTATTGACGGTCAGGGTTAAAATTCGCTCTCATCTGGAATCTTTTAACTACGAATACGATTTTAAGAGTACATGTACTTTAAATTTAAGAGTATATATTAAATGACAGTTGCATCAACTTCAATTAGTTAAGCGGTGGACAAACTTGACTTTCAGAGTCAGTGTGCACTGGATATTTTTACTCAGCTGATATTGTGACCGCTCTGGTAATCAGTGTGGAGCTGTAATAAAGAAATAAAGGAAAAAAAAAAAACAAACGATTATTCCGTACTGATTCTAGGGGAGAAATTATTGGCCGACTAAAAATAGACAGTGCACGCTGTTTCTCAAAATAAATATACATCTAGCCGATAGTTACATGTAGAGGAGTGTAGCCAAAGGAGTCGCGCACGTTGACAGTGGCGCCACTCTCGATCAGTTTAGCGAGTATATTGTCGCGGCCGGCTCGCGCCGCTATATGTACAGCTGTTTGTCCGTCTTGGTTTTTAGCGTCCCGACTCCGGTACCCGCAGGCCAACATTTGAGATACAATGTTGTAATCGCCAGCCTCAGTCGCTCTGTTAAAGAATAATTACAATTTTAAAGTGACAATCACAACAAACAGTAGGTACCATATTACCATAAAATGTCTAGTTATTAATTAAGGCGAGTTTGTTTCTTTTTAAACAAAGTTTATTTATAGGCAATGCCAATATTTGCTAAATAAAAATCGTTAAAAGGTTTTTTAGATCGTTTAACTATATGAAAAATATAGGGGTACAAAAATAGGTATTGATATGATCTAAAGGAAGCTATTTTTTTTGCTATAAATGCATTTTTTTCTGTGATTTAAAATGTGTTAAATCAAGCTGTTTACAAGCTCGCACTGTCTAATCAGTCTCCGCCAATGTGTCTAAGAGGATGAGTGTGTGTCATTTATGCGGAGAAATTCATGGAACATCACAAAATTTTAAAAATTTATTTGATTACATCCGTAGCCGATATTTTTGAAGGTCCGGGTTTGATCTTCAGTTGGATCAATAGAAAATAAGCTTTTCTATATGTATTTTCTCCGGTCTGGGTGTTCGGTGTTTCAGATTTTGACCGCGAATGTAATAGATTTTGAACCAAGTGAAATGTGACAAAGAGCATTTTAAATAATCACTATTTATGAAATCCAGATTAGAATTTACTATAGATGTTTTTTTGTAAACTTACAATTCTTATTAAATTTTTGTACAACCAACAGAATGTCACATTATGAATTAAGTTTTTTGAAGAATTTAAATCTCAATGCATTAAGGATTTTATTGTATAAATAGGTGTAAACCTACGTTTAATAAAAATAAAAACATATTTGTAACAAAAAACCTGTAACGACCCCTATATCCTACTAATAACAAATTATATTTATGTAATAATGTATGAAATGTTATTACAATCAATCGATATAACAATTTTCATATTTATTTGATAATGAAGAAATATCACTTTATTATCTGTATATCGTTAGTCTGTAGTATGTCTGGCTGCGCAAGGTACCGTGTGGTGTACGTCAAAATAGCAGGCACAACAACGAATTTGTGCCAATAATTAGGTAGACTATATGTCGGAGTAGAAATAGATGTCAATAAATGTGAGTGAATAGTGACAAATAGTGTTACATAGAATATAAATAGGTACACTGTAAATTAAGAGATATTGTAAGAACTTAGTGTGCCCGTTAGCTACATAGCAGGCACAATTGAAATACGATTCGTGTTAGTTTGAATTAGTTGTCAAAAAAAAAATTCTATACTACTAACTTTTATTTGACTCGCTTGACTTGACGCTTAAAGCAACGGCAATTTAAAACAAACGGGTAAGAATAAAAAAAGAAAGTAGAAGCTAATAAATACACAAAACCATTGTGACTGAAATTATGATTTTCATGATACATAAAAACTCAAACATTTCTTCTTTATTACTCTTTAAAACTAAAAAATAACTGCTTACATGTGCATGGATGCTTGCAATCAATATTAAACTTTATTGTACAGCGACAAGGGTCTAAATATATTTTAGTAATGTGAGATTATTATTATTTTTTTATTATAAGGGGCTATGCAGTTCTCTAAGGAACTGTAGTCACTGCGACCTTGAAGATCTATTGTGACTCGCCGCCAGAGCTATAGTAACTCCTTTAGCCCGGTAGACTTCAAAAAGTCTATAATATTCCTGGCTTTTAGATTTTATATCTTATGGGCTGATTATATATCGTCCCAGATGTATGCTTCGTTTGTGGATCAGTGGTCCACATTCACACAGGAGGTGTTTTGGTGTTTCACGTTCCTGTTTGCAATATCTGCAAATATCAGTGTCACTTAGTTTCATGTGAAATAGGTGTCTGTTTAATTTACAGTGTCTGGATAAATTTCGTACAATTGCACATATATTTGCTCTGTTTAGCTTCAAGAACTCTTCAGCTAGTTTTTGTGAATGGCCTTCAATTAGGGATTTAGCGTGGGGAGAACAGAACACAGACTGTGTTCTGTGATGGGGAGGATGTGGGAAGTACCATCGAGTAAAAAAATGGTAATGGAAAGCAATCTTAATTTAAATGTAAGACAATTGTTTAAGCAATTAATATATTATATTATATTAGCTTATTCTTTCTTTTGTTATTCTTACCCATTTGTTTAGAATCGGTGTTGCTTTAAGTGTCAAGTTAGCAGGCATAACATTAATCAGAAATATCTTGAATTCAACAAAACCTAGATATTCTAGCAAGCAGGCGATCTAAGATAAGAAAATTCGAGATATTTCTGATTAGCTTATTGTATAATTTCGAAATCTATCGCAAGCACTTTCAAATGTATAGCGATTTATGTAACTTTTAAAGTCGCAATCGCATTTTTGCGTCAATGATGATTCAATTATCAAGAAACGTAATAAAAACTTATTTAAATCAGTCAAAGATTGCAGGAACTATTCATCACTTTCGTTTTATATTTCTCATTAGCCTTCAAAGATATTTGTCTATAATGCTTGTCTTAGGCAATTCCAATCAATGTTTAATAAAACATATCATATAATTGTAGCGCGAAGGTCATGAATATCTTTCAAATAACATATTGAAAAGGACTTCAATAGAATTAATAGAATAAATAGACAATATGACCTCTGGGTTTCAATATGGGTTTCAGTATTCAACATCATTACTTAACAATTTTATAAAAAACATTGCTATTTAAATTAGATGCTTAACAACTATAACAAGAACATTAGATCTAAAAGACAATGATTTACTTAATGTGATTCATTAAGTAATAATATAGGTGGTCGGTGAGTCATCATTGCCAAATACAGATGTCTTGGATGAATGGCTAATGTGATAGCAACTATGATATTATTATTTGTCAGTTAACTTTTCAAAACATTAACTAGTATGACTAACAGTAATATAATTAGCATAACAAATAATATTAAACATTTGTAACATTCCAATGCCTACATTTTAATAATATTAGATAGTAAATTTTTTTTTTTACTTTTTTTTGTTCTATAAATTTATTCAGAAAGTCACAATTTGTATATATTAATTGCTATTGAACTTAAAATAACATTGTGAAATCCCAAAATTTAACAATAAAACTTTATCTGTAACTATAAAGTATTTTTCACAGTTAAAATTATAATTAAAAAAATAATGGCAATACCTACATTGCAACATGTGCTAAACTCATTTCCACACATGGTATTTGACTCAGAATTAATCATACACACAGATGTCACATACCTATCATGCAAATAGATGTAGGTATCTAAGATGAAATATTTCAAATAACTGGCATCGTAAGCAAAAAGTGTTGATATACAAGGGCATATTTTGTTCTCTTGATGTTTATTCAATAAATGCCTTGACAATGCATTCAACAGGAAATTATCAATAAAGTTGCTTATGTGTTTGTATGTATGTGTACTTGATAGTACCTACAATATGAATAAAATTGCTGAGTTCAGTAACCTTTGAACTTATATTAATATAGTTCGAGAGTTTGTGTCATTACACTCTGATATTTGTAGAAAAATATGAAGTAATATATCAAATATAATATAATAGAACTACATAATAATAAGATGATTATGTAATTGGCTTCTGTACACCATAGAAGCATTAGTAAATTATATTAAATAATATTTTTATAGCATTTATATGACACATTAGGTGAATTAAAAAGAAATTTGAAGGTATATTAGACAGATTTTTATAATTGCACTAAGTGAATATCTATGACAGAATAATATTGTCACTAACACAATTCTATTAATCACTATAATATTACTATTGTACTAAATAAATTTGACCCATAGTAAACTATTTCATCCAAATTAGTTCAGACATGAGAGAGAAATTAAGGACAATTTGTGTTGTTGCTTCTTTAATAGAACTTCCTACTTCAGCAGATACAATCTTTATTAACTGTTGGTAGCAATAAAACATTTCTTCATATCCTATTAGACACAGAGCAAGTTCCTTTTACCCAAGTAGTCAATGCTATAGCACAGTATTATATGTTTTTAAAGAAGCTTTAAGAGAAGAATTTAAGAAAAATGTTGTATATTATCAAAATACAGTACAGCAGTGACAAGTTTCATCAAAATAATAAACATTATAATTTACCTATTTAAAAACAGGCAACTATACATATATGAAAAGAGATGTGAATATCAAGGAAGTTAACAAACTGTGTAAGGATCATACTTTGCAATAATCGGTTCGCCTACTCTGCATCTCATGAGCATAAAGACATAGATTATTTATTAAACAATCTTCATTGATAAAAAGATAATGTCTCCTTTTTGATTTTCAT